ACTGCGTTCCTGGGGCTCGTAAGTCCCAGGGTTCTGGAATTGCACGGCCGAGGGCTCGAACAAGCACGGGAGACTGTTGTGGGGCCCCTGTGGGCCGGCCCAGTGTCCGGTGGTGTGGCCGGTGGCTCCCGTGTGCCGCCCCAGTGCATCCCCCGTCCTTCTCGCAGTCGTGCCACGGGACTGTTGTCACCCTCATTTTATAGCTGGGTCACCGAGGGCCACTGCCGGGCTGAGCGGTGCCACGGTGGATTGGTGTCCGAGCGGGGACTCCAGCCCGGGTCCTGGCTTCCAGCCCGTGCTCTGAAACATCTTGCTAGAGAATCTGAGGTTATTGTAGTTAATACCTTGGGCCTCGAAGGTTCTGGGTGATTCTAAGATATTCTGAGTCTGAGATTCCTAGATTCTAGGATTCCCAGAATGAAGTCGCTGCTTATTCTTTTAGCTGCGACATCAGCTGATGTGTGTGGTTGTCGATAAAGGGGTAAACAAATGGTCTGCCTGTGTGTGCCTGTGAATACACGAACACACGCATGCATACGTACACACACACACACACACACACACGCGCGCGCGCGCGTGCGCGCGCGGCCTGGGGTGACCAGGCTAGGCCTCAAGGCTTTTTCCACCAGGGCTCTGAGCTCTGTAGATACAAGGCCTCTCCCCAGCACGCTCCAAGGGCTCTGGAGTGCCAGTTGGAAGATGCTGGAAGGCAGGCTTCCCCACGGACTTGGGAAGACTTGGAGGGTCTGTCTACACTGGGGGTCTTGGTTGCAGCAGCAGGTATATTGGCACTGTCTGGTGACTCAGTTGGGAGTGAGGACCTGGTCCCAGGCTGCTTTTCCCTGTCCCAGGGTGGTGTCCGTTATGGTTCGGTGCTTGGGCTGTGGAGTGGCAGACCTGAACTGGGACCTCGACTCTGCCTTGTACCAGCCGAGTGACCAGGGGCGCTGCTTGACTTCTCTGGACCCCGGTTTCTTTCTCCATAAAGAAGAAATAAGGGTGGTCTCTGCCGTACGTCAAGGGGCGTCGTAGAAATCGACATAAACGATGCACAGAAAGCCCCTTGCTCGTTGCCTGGCACAGAAGCAGGCTCAGAGCCTCCGTGATGCTGTGGTGGTGATGAGATGGTGGCGATGGCAGAGAGAGGACTGGGGCGGCAGCCCCTGGGGATGGCACAGCTGGCCTCATGCATGCTTGGACACCCACCTTCACGGGGCTTAGAGAGCCTTCCCGTCCACATCACGTGAGGCCTGCTGAGGCAGGCAGGAGGAGGGCTGATCTTTACAGAAAGGCCGAGGCCCCGAGAGGCTGGTGGAGTCGGGAGTGGGGGTGGGTGTGTGTGTTCCAGACACAGTGGACTTCTTCTCTTGCCACTGTACTTGCCCACAGAGGCCAGTCCAGTTACCATACCGCTGCCTGGCGGGCCTACCCTGGGAGTACTTTGAGGGAGGAGTCTCAGGATATGGAGGCAGCCCGAGCTCTGGGGCCAGAGGGACTCGAGTTTGAATCCACCAGGGTTGTCACCGGAAGCCAGTCCTGTCATGTCTGTGAGGCTCAGTCCGCGGACAGGTTGCAGCTCGGAGGCAGGGTGGGGGCGGAGGGGGACAGCTGCCAAACCCTCAAGAGCTTCTAGCAATAGGCGAATAGGCAGCCGGGGACAGGAGCAGACCTTCAGGCACAGGGCAGAAGGAACTGGGGCTATACGGAGCAGGTCACAGGGTGGCACCCTGAATGGGCACTGGAGAGCAGGTCAGAGGGTGGAGGCTGGGTGGGCACTGGAGAGCAGGTCAGAGGGTGGAAGCTGGCTGGGCATTGGGAGTGGGTCAGAGGGTGGAGGCTGGGTGGGCATTGGGAGTGGGTTGGGGGTGACAGGTCAGAGGGTAGAGGCTGGTGGGCCCTGGAGAGCAGGTCAGAGGGTAGAGGCTGGGTGGGCATTGGGAGTGGGTTGGGGGTGACAGGTCAGAGGGCAGAGGCTGGGTGGGCCCTGGAGAGCAGGTCAGAGGGTGGAGGCTGGGTGGGCATTGGGAGTGGGTTGGGGGTGACAGGTCAGAGGGCAGAGGCTGGGTGGGTCCTGGAGAGCAGGTCAGAGGGTGGAGGCTGGGTGGGCATTGGGAGTGGGTTGGGGGTGATGGCCTTGAGAGTAGCGGTCTCTGGGAGTCCCACAGTGAGGTGGGAGAGGTGTGAGGAAAAAGGACTGGGACAGTGTGACAGTCTTAAGCAGGACCAAGTGAGGCAAAAAGCAAGTCAGGACAAAGTGGACAGAGCTGAGAGCGAGGAGGTGGGAGGGGGGAGTCACGTGTGGTTCCCGAGGCCACGGCGGCTCTTTGCACCTATGTGGTTGTGGGAGGGGTTTGGGCGGTGCTGGGTAGGGTGGCATCGGGCCGGAGCACGGCCAGGCTTTTCTGCCTCTAAAAAATGTCTCAAATCCACCCCTCTCTTCCTACCTCCACCAGCATCCCAGGCCAGGCCAGCCCATCCTTCCTGCCTCTTCTTGGCCCTCCCTGCCCCACCCCTGCTCTTCCACTCTCCCTTCGGCCCTCAGAGGGATGGCTTAAAAACACAGACCTGAGCACACTACTCCCTGCGTACAACCCTCCATGGCTTCCTGTTGCACTTGGAATAGAACGCAAGCTCCTTGGATGGGCTCACAGTGGGTCCCTGCCAAACACTCAATTTCATCCCCCCCCCACCCCCCCGCCCTCGGCTGGGCCACACTGGCCTCATTTCTCTTCCCTAAACACACTGAGCTCATTCCAGCCTCCCAGCCTCTGCACATGCTGTTCCTTCTACCTGGACTGCTCGTCCCACAGATCACACGCCCGCACGCCGGTGCCTTCCGGTTCCTGTTTTTAATCTTCGATGTCTCTTCCCTTAGGCAAAGCACTTTCCCCACTCCCACCTTCTCCCCCCCCCCCCCCGTGTGTTTACTTCCCCGCACATTCTATTCATTTATTCAACGAGTATTTACTGAGCACCTAGTATGTTCCAGGCACTGTTCTAGGCACTGGGCGGGGCCGGGGGGGGGGGAGGATACAGCAGTGAACGAGACAGACCATGGTGCCGGGTGCTCTTACAGCCTTCTTTCAGGTTGGGCAGACAGGCACTAAATCATAAAGATATAAATTCATAAATGATACGGTATGTTTGGTGGCGATAAGGGCTCTGGAGCCCAGAGGGAGAGAAATTAATTGACTCGTGTGTCTCCTTTGCTGGAGTGTCTGCGGAATGGAGGCTGGTGCCAGATCTGGCTTACTCACTGGCAGGGCTGCAGAGCCTGTGAGGTGCCTGCACGTAGTAGGTGCTCGGGAAACATTTATTGGACAGATCCATGCATTGTCAGGACCTGGGGGACAGGGGATGGGAGTTGGAGGAGAGGGTGTTCCAGGGACAGGGAACCGTGTGAGCAGAGGTCTGGAGGAGGCAGCCAGTGCTCTAGGACCTGAGGAGGGAGGTCCGATGTGGCAGAAGCAAGGGGCCAGCAGGGGGTGGTGGGCGCTGTGGTGGGCAGACCTGGAGCCACCCCTTGGGGGGATGTTTTTCAGCCCAGTGGTTGACACGTGGCAGGCCAGGTTGCCTGAAAGCTTATGTAAGGCCCATGGCTGTTTTTCTGGAACTAAGAGCAGAGCCTGGAGCTTGGGAGAAGACTCTGCCTCCCTGACCAGCCGGGCAAAGGGCCGGGAGGTGCCAACTCCCGCCTGTTGCCCCTGGGAGCCAGAGAAATGTCCAGACGCATCAGCCGTGAGCAGCTCAGCGGCCGTGGTCAGTAGTCCGGTGAGCACCACGAGCTTAGTTAGGCTCCAGCTCCCACTGCCCAACCCGGCACCGTCAGGGTCCTGGGGCCTGGGAGACCCCAGTGCACGAGGATTCAGGGACTGGTGGCCTCTCAGAGCAGGTGGTGAGGGGGCAAGCCTGTTCTTCCTCCTTCGCCATTGGCCAAGCAAGGCCATGGTCAGTCATCACTAAATCTGGAGCACGGGTGCTGGGACTCTGGCGTCTAAGCGTGCCCTGCTTCTATACTTGGGTCAGCGTGTAGCCTTGTGTGCCCTTCCTTCTCTGGGTCTCAGTTCCTCCGTCTGCACGGTAGTGCCCCTGGGTTGTTGTCGACGTCAGACGAGACCACGACGTGGGAGTGCCCCTGAGCCGAAGTCGGGAGCAGCTATGTAATTTGCGGAACTCATTGCAGAACGAAAAGGCGGGGGCTCCTGGCCAACCATTATTAAGAATTTCAACTCAGTGACAGCAGAGCATTAAACCAAGAGCCCTTCTGAGCGTGGAGCCTTGGGTGGCCACACTGGTCACACTCCCGGGAAGCCAGCCCTGCTTCCCTCTGCTGTTACCAGGCTGTGTGCCTGTCCTGTCCCTTCTCTGGGCCTCAGTTTCTCCAGCTGTAAAGCCAAGAGGTTGGTGTGGCAGGTCTCTGAGTTCTCACCTTTGGGAGGTGGTGGGTGGGGTCCCTGGGCTCGGTTGTACATCTCAAGGGAGGTGTCGTTGCCTCAGGGAAGCCTGCCCTGATTCCCTCCCGGCTTGCCCAACTCCCTTGGTGTCTGGCCCTGTAACACTCCAACCTGTCCTTAGTCAACACGTGTCATCCTGGCACTAATGTCTGACTTTTCACCAACATCCCTTTTTTCCTTGCAGATTTTCTTTGTTTTCGACGATGCCATAAATCTATAGCTCTAGTCTCATAAAAAGCCCCACAAAAACCCCAACAGTATCGCAATTACATTCTAGGAAGGTTTTATTCTTCTTACTTTCCATCGCCCCAAACTGGGGCTGAGCAAAGTTGACCAGACTTGTCTCAGGACCACTCACTGGGAGTAGATTCTGACTTGGGTGCATCCAGGCCCTCAGCTTTTTCCTAATCCTCGTGGCAGAGTGAGGATAAGGGGCCTACGGACCTGAGGCTGCTCTGTCTGGGCTGCGTCCCCCGTGAGGGAAAGCGGGGTGGGGAGTGGGTGCCAGGCACCCCCTGCCACGTGCCACGTCTCTTCCTCCCCCAGGGCTTCTGGTTCGCCAACATGGCCGAGAGCTCCTCGCCGCCCTCCTCGTCTGCCGCTGCCGCAGCCCCAGCAGCTGAGCTGGGAGTCACAGAGCAGCCGGGGCCCCAGAGCCCCCCTCCCTCCCCTCCAGGCCTGGAGGAGCCCCTGGATGGAGCCGATCCTGAAGTCCCTCACCCGGACCTGGCACCTGTTGCCTTCTTCTGCCTACGACAGACCACCAGCCCCCGGAACTGGTGCATCAAGATGGTGTGTAACCCATATCCTTTGTGTGATGGGGCCGAGCTGTTCCCTGATGTAGCCCTGCCCGCCACACCTTCCTCTGGATAGGAGGCCATGGTGGTAGTGAGCGAGCTCAGATGGCGGGTCTGGGGGAATGTCGGGGCACGGAGGGCGGACCGATGAGGACCTGGCGTCCTGCTGATGCGAACGTTCTGGAAGTCGTTGATGACCTGGGGGTTGGTTCAGTGCCCGGCTGGCTCAGAGAGTCGTCCGGTGTGAGCCCCGGGTCTACTCTGGGACTGGGGAGGCCGTGTTAAGTGAGACCCTGGCCCATGGCTCAGCTCCCGGTGACTGAGCCATTTGGTTGATGGAGGCCACATGATGCGAGTCCGAAGGGGACCCTGTGGGCGTGGACCCTGAGGCGGCAGAAGGCAGCCTCACAAATCTTCTTGCCTCCACTTGCTGCCCCTGGTCTGCCCGTGTGGCCCCTGTTACGACCCTTCGCTATTTCCCACTGCCCTGGAGGAGTAGAGCAAAGTCCTCCCCCAGCCCACCAGGTGCCACCTTACTGCTCCCCCTGCGTTCTTCTAGGCCTCAGGGCCTTCCCACGTGCTCTTCCTTGTGAAACGCTTTTCCCTTCCCTCTCCACCTGGCACAGTCCTTCACTGCATCCTTCCGACCGTGGCTTAAGTGTCACCCGCTCAGGGCAGTGTGCCCTGATTCCCCCTTGGCCTCTCCGTTTGTTGTCACTCTCTAGTTGTGGCATTCCGAAGCTACCATCTGCCTCCTCCAGGGAACCGTCAGGTGAGCGGTACACGGACCGAGCGTGTCTTGTTTGACGCTGGACCCCAGCACCCAGCACGGTGCCTGGCGCGCCATGGGCTCGCTCTCCTTCGGTGTTCGCCGGGCGCGTTTTGGCGGTGTCTGAGCTGGGTCTCCAATAATGAGCGGTGTTGGGTGGACAGGGTGGTGGGGAGGAGGCTACGTCAGGAACAAAGGCCAGGAGAAGAGAGGGACGAGGGAGTGAGGGACAGTGGGGAGAGAGGAGGCGGAGGGGTGAGAGGGAGGCTTGCAGGGGGCTGAGTGAGGAGCTGGCCTGTGTTCTCAGGGCAGCGGGACCAGGGTGAGTTTACAGCAGGGTGTGATAGGGAGAGATCAGTGTGTTAGAAAGATGGCTTGGTGCCGTGTGGAAATGGGTCGTGGGGTGAGCCCAGGAGGAGGAGGAGGCTTTGGGACCCAGACATGGTGGCCTCTGGCTTTTGGGGCCCACCAAGCAGCACAGAGTCTCTGCCAGGGCTTGAGGCCACCCAGGGTAGGGTCTGAGCCCAGCTCTGGGCACCTGGGATACCCGGGATGCAGGCTGGGGTGAGGACGAGGCCCCCAGAAAGGCTGGGGGAGGCAGCCATGCTGAGCCCAGGACTGCTGGCCTCCCTGCTATGTCAGGGGCTGGGTGATGAGGCTCTCTGCTGGCGTGGGTGGAGTGTGGATCCGGGTGCCCCTAGCTGGGCAGAGGGCCAAAAGCCTTCACGGTCCTTCTGTGGGACAGCTCAGGAGGTCTCAGCCATGGTTAGAGGGTCTATTCAATAACTCTGTTCACCCAGTGCTCTCTGACATCAGCCCTGGGATCGTGGAGGACAGAGAAACATAGCTAGCTGCTCTGCCCTGAGGAGCTCCCGGGGGCAGGGGACACAGGCACCATCCATGGGAACAGTTTTAGTACAGTATGTTGGGGAAACCTTAGGAGCCTGCAGCATGTAAGCTGGGGGGTGGCCAGGCCAGGAAAAGGGGGACCACAGGAGCTTTGGGCCTTTGAGGGAGAGAAAGGCTCACTGGAAGACTGGGGAGACAGTGGAATCGTGTCACAGGGACCTTGCCTGGGTGGGACAGAGGTTGATTCTGGCTCTGCCATTGGCTGCTGTGTGACCTCGGGAAAGTTGCTGTACCTTTCTGAGCCTCATAGGGTCCAGACAGTTAAGACTGGGCTGGGCTGGGTTGGAGGCATGGCTCAGATTAACTTGGCCTGGGAGTGTGACCTAAAAACAAGGGTCTGGATGACACGGCCTTCTCTAGCTCTGGGAGCCGCCTGGGGTGCCAGCCATAGTTGCCCACACCCTTGACCTCAGGCCCTGATCACTGAGCAGCCCACAGAGACCCTTCCAGGTTGCCACATGTCTGGCCTGTCGGGCAGACAGAGCCCCTGGGGTCCTCTGGCCTTTGTCCTCACCAACGCCCTTGGCTCCACACTGTGCACCTGTGGGAGGCTGGGGTTGGGAGCGCCAATGAGGCCAGCCTTGGGAGGGGAGGGGAGGGGAGGGGAGGGAAGGAGACCTGCCCCTGGGCAGAGCTGGGCTTGGTCCCCTGTCTCAGGGAGAGCCCTGGGTCCCAGCGTGTGGAAGCCGCATGGGGGAGGAGGGCTGTCAGATTCAGCCCCCTCCTTGGGGGGGACTCCCCGACACTGGGAGCTGCTCAGGGCACATTGGGCTCCCCGGGCCCCGTGACGGAGCTTCTGAGGCTGGGTCGAAAGATGAAGGGTCTCTGCCTGAACCGGCTGCCTCACTTCCGAGTTCCCTCCTAGACCAAAGATCTGATGACTCGGCACTGGAGCAGCTTCAGAAGTGTCAGGTTCTGGGACTCTCCTACTGGAAGCTTCTGTGATTAAGTCTAAGCGTTCAGAGTTTAGATTTAAGGCTCAGGGCCATTAACATTCTAAGCCTCTGCCATTCAAAGCCCGTAAAGTTCCGTGTTTCAAAGAGGGCACGAGTCTGAGATTTGGTGGCTGTGGCTGTCTGTCATATGTGTTTGGAAGTCTGAGGACCCGAGATTCTAGGCTTTGTGAACACGACGGTTCGGTGCTAAGATTTCATAGCCTGAATCGGATTGGTGGGAGAGAGGCTGAGGCAGGTTTTTGCAAGTGCAGGCCCACATGACCTTGGTGTCCGCAGGGGCGCTGGAGCAGAGACTTGACGGGGGGGGGGGGGGGGGCGCCCGGGCGGGGCTTTAGGGGCCTGGGGTGTGTGTGTGGGGGGTGTCTTTGATCAGGTGATGCAGGCTCTTGGATTCTTCCCTGGCCAGAAACCTCCCTTCCTCCCCTCCTCCTTGGGAGAGAGCTCAGGGAGGGGGCAGTGCTTAACCAGGGGGCTCCTCGGTGGGGACACCGTTGGCATCTTGGGTGTGACAGCATTTTGTGGTCCAGGCTGTCTGGCAAATTACAGGACATTTGGTGTTTTTGTCCCTAAATATTAGTAGGTAGTGGCCCCCAATCATTGTGACATCCATAAATGATCGTCCACACTTCCAGACTCTGCACAGCTCTGCTTCCCATCAAGAATCCAAAGGAATGATGGACGTGTAGGCCTCAGGGTCAGGCCGGCGGGAGCAGCTATCAGGCCCGGCGGGCCAGGGTCGGGGCAGGGCAGGCTGGCAGGGTCTGCCCAGAAAGACTGTCCCCAGTGCTGACGTCCGTGGTTCATGAGGGGCCCTGGCTCAGAGCCAGCTGCCCTGTGGAACCTGGTGCTCCCTGACTCAGCCCCTCACCCAGCCCAGAGCTCGGCCCTGAGTCACCACCTGACTCACTGGAGAGTCAGAAGGCTGCCGGGACCCTCCCTGAGCTGGCGAGCCGGGGTGGGAAAGGGCCGCTCACCCAAATGTCAGCACCACCGTCTGCCTGGCCTGGGCCTCGAGCGTGCACCGTCAGCCAGGGTTTCAGCCGGGAGGTCTCTGGGTCTGAAATGTCAGGGGATTGATTGCGCGGCTTGACTCATGGGTAGCTGGCATGTGGAAAATGCTGGGGCCCTGAGTCAGACAGACCCAGGGGCTCCTGCCACCTCTGATTTGCTGTGTGACCATGGGCCAGTTTTTCCCACCTCTCTGAGCCCCGTTTTCCCACCGTCAAATGGGGGTAGTACCCTCCCCCCGTTCACAGCAGTGCACGATGACCTATGTGCAAATGCAGTTCTGCACACTAGAAAAACTGCCACACGTGTAGGGGCGCCCGGGGGGCTCAGTCGGTTAAGCGTCCGACTTCGGCTCAGGTCATGATCTAACGGTTTGTGAGTTTGAGCCCCACGTTGGGTTCTCTGCTGACAGCTCAGAGCCTGAGCCTGCTTCGGATTCTGCGTCTCCCTCTCTCTCTGCTCCTCCTGCACTCACGCTCTGTCTCTCTCTCTCCCTCTCTCTCCTTCAAAAATAAATAAAACCATTAAAAAAGAGAAAAAGATAAACTGCCACACGTGGTTATCACTCTTCCTATCCGAGCTCAGAGGCGAACAGGGCCCTCACGTATCACCGGGCAAGCGCTCCGCTTGCCTCCGCAAGATGTTAGGCATCGAGCCCTTCGGTGGAACGTACGCCTCCGGAGGACATTGTTTCCAGGGAAAATCAGACTCGATCTCTGTCATTTAGGTAAGTTTGTGCCAGTCACGCTGCCGGTAGTCACGGCCTCGTCCATGTGAGCGCTGCTGGTCAGCATAGCCCCCTCTTGCCGGGCGCCTCTGGGAGCAGGACCCATCAGCTGGAAACCCACCGGTTTTCTACCCTGGATGAGACTGTGAGAGCCCTTCTTCAGCCAGGATGTAGTAGAGCAGGGATGAAAACCTCGATTTCTCTGAATCCCCAGCCTCAGCATTTATTCAGGACGCAGCGGCCACCTGCAGAGTCTGGAGAAGTGCCCGGTCCTCCTCCCAGGGCAGGGAGGTTTGCTTCACAGTGGGGAGGGTCTCCCTGGGTTTCAGCATCTACATTCGGAGGCTGCCTCTGGGGCCTGCCTGGGGCCATCCCCCGGAGGGCTGTGCAGCCCCCTTCCCTTTGGACACACTCCAGGGCCGCTGCCTCCCCCGCCCCAGCGCTAAGCCAGCGCCTCTGCTGCGGTGCAAAGCAGCCATGCATGGTGGGAAGCCAGTCGGCTGTGAAGGCCGCCTCTCTGCTGGGCGGGGTGGGTAGGGCGCCAGCCCGGGCTGGGAGGACAGAGATGCCAGCTGCCGGTGACCTTGGATACGTCACCCCCCACCCCTACCCCGTGCTGGCCCTCGGTCTCCCTGTC